TTATCTAGACAACCGGCTCAAAGTTGGCGGTAAGGTTGTCAGCCTTACGCACCGGCCGCGCTTTACTCCGAAGGAAAATTATTTAATTGATTCCTGGTACTCATGTTCATGGAAAATGTCAAAATGTTTCATTCTTTTACTGACGCTATCAGCAGCTTCGACTGCGAGCTGTAGCGGGGAATGGTGGAATGATTGATGAATACTGAATTGGTAAGTATCAGGAAGGAGGTGGTGGTAGCCAACACTTAAATTTACCTGGAGCGACCCAGGGAAACCACGAAGAACCTTAAGCACAGTACAGTCTCTTAGAAGACATCTAAGACCTGGATTTCCCGAATGCGAAACAGAAATTGCATCCACCCTAACCTGACTTTCAGTGACTGATGTCGGGAAGGAAAATTAGAACTAAAGATTTTATGGTGCTACTATAGGGAAATCAAAATTAACGTGGGTAAAATAATCTATAAACCAGACAGATATCAAGGAAGTAGATGTTGACAATAACAAGGAAAGGAACAATGTGTTTTTAAATGTTAAATTTTAAACTAAGTGCAGTGTAACAGCAACGTGAGTGTATACACCTGATGATGGCCCTTTGAGGCCGAAACATGTAGTGTAAAGGAGAGCAAGATCAAGGACATATACTATACTGTTTGCACTTGGGACGGAGTTTATATCATTTATCATTTGTCGGGAAGGAAGTCTGAACATCGTATGTACGAAGGGCGTTCCGTATATAATGCCACCTATTTTTTGTGTTAATATGTAACGTCTGAGCTGGATGTTGATGGTGTTGTACTAAAGGTTGAACCTTCCCGCCAATGTACTGTTAGTTTGGTGTCGTGCGACAGATAGCGACAGCAGAGCAGTCTACCAAAATGACGTCTGACATAGAAGTGCGTACGAAACAGATGTGTTATTGAATTTCTCTCTGCCGAACAAATTGCACCCATTGACATCCATCAACGCTTGCTAAAGGTGTACGGAGACGATACAGTGGATGTCAGCACAGTGAGACGGTGGGTAGTGCGTTTCAACAGTGGCGAAAGTGAAGTGCACGACAAGCCACGCCCTGGGCGTCCCTGCTCAGCTGCCACTCCTCACAATGAACAGCACCTCGATCAGCTGTAATGCATTGGAAACGATGTTGGGGAAGCTGGATTATTGCAAAGTGTGTTCCAGGTGGGTCCCGCGGATGCTTACACAGGACCACAAAACTCATCGAATGGAAGTCTGTCAGGACCTGTTGCACCAGTTTGAGGCTGAAGGTGACAAGTTTCTGGACAGCATCGTCACCGGAGATGAGACGTGGTGTCACCACTACGAGCCGGAATCCAAAAGACAGTCCATGGAGTGGCGACATCCGGATTCCCCAAGACAAAAGAAGTTCAAGACACAGCCATCGGCAGGGAAAGTGATGTGCACGGTCTTTCGGGATAGGCGGGGTGTGATTTTCTTGGATTTCCTGGAGCCTGATGAGGCTGTCAATTCTGAACGCTACAAGACGACGCTGACTAAGCTGAAAGCACGCATTTCCCGAGTCAGGCCCAGAAGCAGACAACCTTTCGCTTGCAACACGATAACGCTAGACCCCCATACCAGTTTGGCTGGACTGCCCTACCTCATCCACCTTATAGCCCCGATTTAGCACCTTCAGACTTCCATCTCTTTGGGCCTATGAAAGACGGACTACGTGGGCAACATTTTCCAGACAACGATGCTGTCATTGCAGCTGTAAGAAAGTGGCTAGCCTCTGCTGGCGCAGACTTTTACGGGCGCGGCATACAGGCTCTTGTTCATCGCTGGCAAAAGTGCATAACGAATGGTGGTGATTATGTGGAAAAATAACTGTAAGTAGCTGAAATCTTGCTCTATTTAACTGCGTTATTATGCTTTCTGTATCTGTTGTACTTTTCACTTAAAAAATAGGAGGCATTATATACGGAACGCTCCTCGTACATCTATCATACAGACTGTCGCTCTGATTTCAGAAGCCAGACGTTCAACACTTCTGTCACAAAAGCCAGCCATTGGACACAATCCGGAGCCAGTTCAATCTACTTCGAACCCTTACATACTATGGCCCTAGGATGTCTTAATATTGTACTTCTCTCTTGGTCTTGGTCTTCCGAGTGTCGGTTTTCCAAAATGTTTCCGCTAAAAGTCACTATATATTCATTTCCTCCCTCATCCTAGCTTCTGCACATTTTACTGCAGCATCAGAGCAGTAAGCAGTAATTCACCACGGGTCTTCGCCAGCACAGCCATGACCATTTTTGCTCGTTCAAAAACCGCTTATGTGTTTTGAAATGGGACGAGAGGAGGGGTTGGTCTTTCTGTGAATCGCAACTGCCCCAACACCGCTAGGAGACCTGCATTAATACAAAGTTTGTTTATGTAATATAATAAACTGCTGACTTGCGTCGACCTCTTTTTTTATTGCTAGTGGGGTGGGACCAAGTCCCTTGTACTGCGGCCACTTCTGGCCTACTGTACCAGCCGCAGATGATAGGCGAGGGTGATTATGGAGCAATTTATGGTATGAAGACGGGAAGGGGAAACCGAAGTACTGGGAGAAATCCTACCCCAGCGCCACTTTGTCCACCACAAATCCCACTTTACCAGACCCGGGATCGAACCCAGGCCGCCGCGGTGGGAAGCCAGCGACTAACCGCTTGAGCTATGACGCGGCCTTGCATCGTCCTTAAAAGGTTAGGAAATTTTCCTAATCAATTTGTTTGTAAACATTTGTAATCTATGTGGTCAAGGTGGCACCCATACAAGCACTCCAGACATGATTCTACAGGGTGATTCTAATTTATTGTCGGGGTTGCAGTATTGGCCTATAATTTTCGAACCGGATAAAAACCAAATAAACTGCTTAAAGCACATTATATCTAATTCAAGAAGTGTTATTCCTTATAGAATCAGTACTACAGAATACTAAACAACTTCAACATGGGCGCCTTTCTCGACACGTAAAGTGTCCAAGCGGTAATCAGTTTCCCTCCAAGAGCTGTCCAGCTTTTGCGGTGTGACTGTTTCGATCGCAGCAACAGTTCTGGGCTTCAGTTCATCCACGGAGGGCACAGGGACCTTGTAAACATTGCCCTTAACGAATCCTCACAGAGAGTAACCAAGCGGCATAATATTGGGTGAGCGCGGAGGTCAGAGAATTGGTCCATCACGCCCAAACTAAGCGCCCAGGAAAACGTATGTCGAGAAATTCTTGGACAACCCAGCCCAATTTGGGGGGTGCACCATCTTTGTGGAGCACCAGCAGTACAGCTTTACCAAATAAAACTTTTTGAGTTACACTTTCGTATTCCATAAGCAGTTCTACCTTATTTTTCCGGTTTGAAAATTACAGGCCACGGAAACCCCGACAATAATTTAGAATCAATTTGTATTTATGGCAAAGGGTAGTGTCAATAACAAGCAGGCCTAAATTGTTGTGTTCCTGTCAGTGTCTCTATTCTGAGACGAGGAAGGATTTATGGCATCGTCAAATCACTTTCTTCGAATATGCATAGAATTTCAAACGTCCCACGCGCATGCGTATATAACACGAGTTTATTCAGTGTTAACTGAAACGGGATATATTTCAGGTCGGCCCTGAAAGGATCACCTGTATAAATGAGAGCTGATAGGTAGGGGCAAGCCAAGGACCTGCACCCCTACTCCGTATTTATAAGAAATTCAACTACAAAAATGAGGAAATATACCAAATGCTATCATGGATAATAAAAATATATTGTTTTTAATTTAAAATTATACAATTCTGAATATTCTACGGCCATCAGTAAAAGAGAACATTTTCTGGTTACCCTCCCTTGACAATTTTTCTCTTCTCAACAACGTCCAGACCAGCTCTGGGGCTCAACCATCCTCCTATCCAATGGATACTGGGAGCCCTTTCTGCGGGGCTAAAGCTGCCTGGGCGTGAAACTGACCACTCACCTCCATCTAGTGCTGCAAGAATATTGGATCTATACATCCACTCCCCCCATACGCCTTCATCGCGTGGCGCCTAATTTATCAGTTAGCACAGGGACAACTTTACCTTTTTACTCTCGCTTGTGAGGCCGGAGACAGCCATGCATTAATTGNGGAAGGGGGGGGGGGGGTAGGGCAACACCGAACATAAAGAACTGAGCCTCAGAAATTTAATTAATATGAACATAAACATACTTTATTACAGGCAACCATTTGCCGGCAATTTGCTTCCTCAAGAACAATGATGGAAAGAAACCGGTCAATTTTATTACGTGCGTTTATAAAATAACACAATGCTAACATCGCCCTGCACTTCAGAACTTCGCACATGTCATTTCAGTGTGGCCGTAACTAGCGCTCTCTTATGCATTACCTCTCATACAGAACCCAGAAAAAAAGGTAAGTCTATTCCTGTAATAGGCCGTGGAGGCCCACACGGCTGTGAGACGTCGAAGTCCCCACATCTTCTAGACAATCGGCTCACAAATGGCGGTGAGATTGTGTGCCTTACTTGCAGGCCGCCCTTTACGCCCAGGAAGATTCCTGGTACTCATTTCTGTTAGAGGTTGAGTCGAATCCAGGGCCATAGTGCTGCTGGAGGGATTAAGTCAATTGAAAAATCCAATGGCCTCATCGGGAATCGAACCCGTGATCTTCCTCATACGGAACTAATACAAGCTAGGAAAAAATGAACAATAATTTCAAGATATTTGCTTTACCAAAGCCACGCACTAATATGACTTTTAGCTGCCTGTCTTGAGACACGAAGAGTAATTGTTAGTCTGGAAGTTGGAGAAACAGCCAGTCAATACCTATAAAGATGGTATTGCTCATGTCTATTTATAGCTGTAGTTTATAGTGTAATGAAGGAATGAGATCCTCCATGGCGCAGTCAGAAATTCATGTAAATAATATTTAAAATTCATCTTCTATCACATAGAAAACACGACGATATTACAAATAACAACCAGTTAATGCTGTTTAGGGACACAATCGCTGTTTATTGTCATAATCATACGAAACACATAAATACTCTGCGGGGGGAAATGTGCAGAGTTTATTTAAAATATTAAAACACTTTGTTCGTGCAGAAAACATCGTGGTTTTAAGGGTTAATGATGAAATTAACTTAGGTTTCTTGACTTTAGAGAAACAAAACATGATACATACTTGATGACTTGTAAGTTTTACATGTTATTGTGGTTGTTACTTATTAATTCTTGCTTGGTACGAAAGTACCAAAGTAAAACTACGATAATTACTTAAATAAAATGATACAATTTTGAAGAATACGTATTACAAAGCGACAAGTACCAGATGTACTCCGCTTTATGTGCAATGAACCGAAATTTCTGCAGACAATAAATATGATATGATACGTTAAGAGAATGTAATTAGAGTCTGATCCCTCTGTTGGTGGCAGCCACGTAGTTGAGGAGCTCATCGCTGTCCTCGCAGATGAAGGGCTTCTCGTGGTAGCACGCGACGTCGTGCCAGGCGATCCCGTCGCTGTACACGTTGTTAAGCACGGCGAGACAGGACTCGTTCGTTCCGTTGATGTCAAACTCTGCGTTGTCGGGCTGACGGACCTTCTTGTGGCCGGTCTGGCTCCAGGGATTGAAGCCGAAACCGTTGGGAACCTGGTTGGTAGGAGCCATCTTCTGGCGGGTGGCTGACCAGAACCAGCCATAGATGTTCTTTGGTTCCAGATCGCGTCGGTTCTCGCATCCCTTGAAGTCACAGAGGCGACCACTCGTCCAGATGTAGGGCACATCGCCTGTAACATCAGGTACAAGCGGCACTGAGCACAATTCACAAATGGCGGTTATCTTCTGCTGTGTTTATCTACGGACTGGAGCCGAAATGGTCTTAACTAATTAATCTCTAAGACATGAAGACGTGTGGGCGGAATGCGTGCTCTTGACCTAGGCACTAGTTGGAGGTGAGCGGTCAGTTCCACGCCCCCGACGCTTTACCCCCGGGGAAAGAACCACCCTGTAATCACTGGATATGAGGCTGAGTGTGCCCCAGAATCTGTCTGGACGACATGGAGAGCAGAGATATCTTGCCCTTACCAGGACTTGAAATCCGACCCCTCGGCTGTCCAGCCCGTATCCAGTCAATATACCAAGTGCAGGTGACTCAATTATAGAATTACGACGTGCATATATTTAAATTATCCGACGTTTCGTAAACTGGAACTTTTTCTGTTATCAGGTGTGAAAAGGGAAAGGATCATACTCAGTTTGGCCCGTTAGAAAGATCTCATGAAGGAAACAGATATAACTTCCGAAACGTAGCACAAATCACAATATAGATATTTCTCGAACGATGGTCAATGTCCAACAAAATAAGTAGGATTTGAGGTTCCCCAACCGGTGGTTATGAACAGTACTGTCTTCTGGGATGTAATGTCATGCAGTCCATTGAAAGTCAACCGACGTTTCGTGGGAAAATGTGCCTCTGACTCACGCTGGTTTCTTACTTCGCTTATTCTTCGACCCTGAAGATGAAGGCGACATGTTCTTTCGAAACGTCGGTTGGCTTTCAACGGGACTACACGGAGTTATATCCGAGAAGATGGAACTCTTCCAACAAAATAATTTTGTAGTGAAAAACAGACCACTGACACAAACATTTAAAGGAACAACAGCTCAGTCACTATAGTGACTAGGCTACGAGGTGGAAGATAGACGAATCATGAGTCGATTCCCGGAAGGGGAAATGGATCTTTTCTTTTACCAGCGTCCAGACCGGCTCTGGGGCCCACCCAGCCTCCTATTCAATGGGTACACAAGGCTTTCTTTTTCACAGGCGTTAATGCGGCAGAAGCGTGAAGCCAGCCACTCACCTCAACCTAGTGCCCTGGTGAAGAAAGCCTGCAGCTATATCTTCACTCGCCCTACGTCTTCGTGGCGTGGCGGTTAACTCAGCGCAGGAAAAACTTTCTTTTAACTTCATTACAGGCTGCACAATGAGCGGGAGGGGCGTGGAAGGAAGCGACCATGTGTTAATGCTACTATCCGGTCACTCGCCGGGGGTGTGACTAGGGGAAACCATGGAACATCTCGGAATAGTCTCAAGTTTCGTCTGAACAGACAAGTGATTCATCTGCCTAAACGCCATGTAACTTTTTACAGTATGTACTCAACTGTGAAGAGAATTTTTCATATTTCGATCCGGATTAACTGTAACCGGATTAGCGAGAGGGCTTACTGCACTGGTTGTCATGGTTACCATATCTCGGTAATGGTGCTATTATTGTACCCACCTCAAAAGTTAGGCCAGTCTGGCATTTTATTATTTCTTGTTGTAAGAAATTAAGAAGTAAATACTTTTCAGTTGCATTCCAACGCCATAATATTTGTATTAAATTTCTTCAAAATCCGTCAGTAGTTCTCGAGTTTCAACATGCAGACATGGTCATTCCTATACAGAGTGTCTCAGGAGGAAAGGTCAATATTCTGGGAGGTCACAGTATGGGTCATTCTAAACCAAAATTGTATATCTGTACGTGTCCTATTCCGAACTGTTTCCGAGATAGAGCTACACTGTACACTGTACAGATGAGCAACACGCCATGTCCTCACACGAGTTGCAAAGTGCATTGATGTTGACGGTGGAATTTTCGAAACTGTTATTATAATGGGTAAACTGTACCAACTTTGTCACTTGAACAGTAAATACCGGTATTAGAAACAGTGCGTGGTATCCCTTTCTTATGAACAATTTTGGAACTGTACACTGAAATAGCTCTATCTCGGAAAGCATTCGGAATAGGGCACATGTACATGTACAGTTTTCTGCTTAGAATGACCGATACTGTGGCCTCCCAGAATATTGACCTGTGTAAGTTCCCTTCTTGCACGCTGTGTAAAGATGGAGGAATAACGCCACTTGCGCAGTCTGTGGTTACAAAATGGCAAAGCTGTCCCTGTTAAGCACTACGCCATGAAGGCGTATGTGGGGGTGGATGAGTGGATGTATAAGTCTATATTATCTTGACAGTGGTCACTTTCACAACCCGGCCGCTTTACCACCGGGGAAAGAGCCCCAGGTACCTACTGGATATGAGGTTGGGTGAACCCCGGAACCGGTTTGGACGACTTGGAAAAGAGAAAATTTTTGACCCCACCGGGACTGGAACTCCGACCTCTCCTCCAGTAGCAAGTCGCTATACCGACTGAGCTGTCCCGGCTCCCAGGTTATTCTCTGTCTAAAACATCTGTGAGAGCACGTGCGTGTTCAGCAGGATTACGCAGTTCTAATCGTGACGTCATGATGTACATCACTACGCGATGACAGGTGTGGACACAGTACAACTGACCTTGCTGGATGAGTCTGAAGACAATGTTGTTCTCCTCCTGCCCTTCCATGGACACGAGATCCATACAGTATTCTCGGCATACATTTCGTGCATCCAACCAATCAAGCCGCGAGTTCCGGTACTGAGGCTGGTTGCCACTGAAGAAGTAATTGTGACCACGATAGAAGAACTCTTTCGGTCCTGAAACAGGAAATGGTAATGTTTTGAATGCTTCAATGATGGAGAATATTCTATGGCGTTTTTATATTTATGTGTTCAGTTTTAATTATTTTATCCGAGGATTACAAATTAAAATAGTATTTATAATGCGTTTAACTCTATCAGTGCCATTTTATGACGCAAGTTTCTCCTCTCGTTTGTGTTTGTAGCAGAATCTGGCAGTCCAGCCTGAAGCTCGCGTCCTTTGTATGCAGGGATGAATCTGATTTGTTGTAATTTGCGCTCACTGGAGTCAGCTGGCAGTTTCTTCAAGTATTAATACACAGCCGTCAACACAACAAATTCGTAATGAATAAACCAAAATTACTGTGTTAATATTTGTTTGTTAGGTACGTTTGCTACATGTTTCGATCCAGTTGGATCATCGTCAGGAAATATTCATGAAATATACTTACTGAATTGTATCTCTAATGTGAATCCATATTTGTGGTCATAAATACAAATTTCGTTATACAAACACAAGAATCGTAATGAAATTTATATTTATGACCACTAATACGGATCCACATTAGAAATACAATACAATATGAATATTTCCTGATGATGATCCAACTGGATCGAAACATGTAGCAAACACAGAATAAAAACAAATATTAATACAGTAATTTTGGTTTATTTATTACTAATTTGTTTTGTTGACGGCTGTATTATAATACAGAGTCGGGCTTTCCGCTTATAGGTCACGGGAACCCCGACAATAATTTAGAATCAACTTGTACTATATATTAACACACAACAGGATGCAAACAATACAGCTATTCATACCAATATGGATATTAAAAATCAAAAGAGAGAAATACAATTAAATATAGATGACCAGTAACTGGTATACGTATAATTAAAGTTTTAGTGTATAACATGTGAGTTCAGATTAAAATTTATTCATTCATTCAATTCATGCTACTGATGGAACCCAGCTGGGTGTTTACGACTGGTGACTCAGTCNTGCAGCCATCTGCTCATGTTTGTTCATCGCTCACTGATTTTTCTACCCTGAAAATGGAGGCGATACTTTCCCCTGAAACTTGGGTTCAGACAAAATCTACACGGTCCCATATCCCAGAAGACGGCATTCTTCATAGTCACCGCCGTGAAAACCTCAAATCTTACAGGAATACTTTTTCTGGAATATGTAACTCCAGGAATATCACGTACGGTTTCACGAGTGAAATATTTCTTAATAAAGCTGTGAGTTTATTGTCTGCTACACTGTGATGTATACTAAAGGGTCTCACGTGTGCGAAACCGCTTTGCTAAGTAGGAGCTGCAATATGACTCTCAGTAAGAGAAAACTTGGTGGTCATGAGCCAAGGAAAGCAGCCACAAGACCGATTGACGTAATTCAAGCAACACATGCTCACTTTCCGTTCCCAGTCACCTCAAAGGGCAACCACCATAGTCACGCCTTCTCTTTAACATGTGTCGGTGACAAGCACGACCTCTACGACCTCCACTAGAATGTATGTGTATCCTTGATCCTGACAGTCAACGGCTTGGACCCACAGCTTGGTACGATCCGTGCCTTTGGGCCTAGCGTCTCTAAACACAATGGGCAGTAGATCTCGTCGAGTCCACTTCAGACCTGGCCGTTCTCAACATGTGCAGTAGATTTGGCCGAGTCTATTATAGACCTGACCGTTCTCAACAGAACGTGCAGTAAATTCGGTCGAGTCTACTTCAGACCTGACCGTTCTCAACAGCATGTGCAGTAAATTCGGTCGAGTCTACTTCAGACCTGACCGTTCTCAACAGCATGTGCAGTAAATTCGGTCGAGTCTACTTCAGACCTGACCGTTCTCAACAGAATGCGCAGTAGACTTGGTCGAGTGCACTAAATGAGATGAGTACCGATTGTGTATGGTTGCAACAGGCCCTCCCGCCCACTACGCAACTGTAAGCACTGCGCAGCTGTCTCACGCGCAGCCCAGAGGACAGGTGCAGTAACTATCCCTGTACACCCTGTACGTTCCCGGCGAAGTATTTATTAGCATTCCTACGCTCTCGCATGGAACTGACCTACTCCACTACAAACATGACGCAAGTGCTCATGGACGGTATGATCAAACAAGATGCCCAAGTCTCGTGTCCTCATTTTGTGTCCATGGGAACTTTTTCCACGTTTTAAAATGACAATTATTATGTTCACGCCGATGAATGACTCCGTGGAACGAAGTTCTGTTCGAGAAGCCACATGTTTCGGCGTTTCGGCCATCAGCAGGCTTGAGCACTGCACTGTTGAGACCTTACATCGGTCAATGTTTGCGGTGGGCAAATTATGTGCTGTGGGCTTGAAGCATTGGGGTCTAATGCTACCATATACGTCCTTGTTGAAATGTTAAATACTGTCACATAATATGTGTGACCCTCGACGGGGATTGGATTGATCACTTTTACACAAGACCCGGACCTACAAGCAATTACAACGCCACTGCTAATCACCACAAATAACAAATCACCACAGCATCCCGAAGCCTTCTCCAGCTTGCTGTGTCTTCACCAGCCGCTCCCTGGCACCGGCTTCTAACAATGGAGATTCTTCAGCTTCACGCGCTCAGGTCCTCTCTTCACCGCCTCCCGTGTAGAATTCAACTCTGAACTCACTGGGTGTAAGTCTTATGTTATGACCGACGGTCAGTCGGCCAATCTGTCTTGGAATAAATCACCCATCTGGGGCTTACGACAAGATTTTTATTACTGTGAGGCAGTTGCGGGTTTGTTGATGTGGGCCGCTCTCTCTGACGAGAGGACGGGTCTGTCGTTTCCAACTGTTGCTGGCCCTCGCCAACACAGTCATTCTCGGGTCAGAGTCCGGCGGGACTCGTGAATATATTTCACTATCTCAGATTCGAGATTTCCCTTTTCATCGCCTCCTACAACTCGCAGAGTTACGGTGGAGGTATTCGACCCCGCCTCCACATGGGAGTCTCAACTCATTTCTCATACTGTCCAGGTTATAATTTCTTGGCACGAACCACATAGAAAACATCTTTCTTCTATTGTTGCATCCGTATCTTTTGCCGCGGGAACGTGTTTACCGAGCAGTTGCCTAGAAACTGTCGCTGTTCATTTGCCTTATCTCGTTGTTGTTGCATAGCAACGGCTGTACACGCTACATTATTAAAATTCTTATGTCGATATATTAATCCCTGTTAAAATTTAAAAAGTTAAATATTAAAACCGTTAAATTGTTAATTTTGTATTGAAAAATTGACAAATTCCTATTTTCTTTTTTTTAGTTTCATAGTAGGCATCATGTTGTGTGTCATACAAGAAAAATATACAAATGGGACAGTCAACACAACAAATTATTGATATCGAAGCAAATCAGATATTACAGTATCAGCATTTGTTTATTTGGGCAGATATTGTATATGTTTCGACCTTTCTTTAGGCCATCGTCAGTCATACATGAAACAATCCATATTAATGCGTTAACATACTCAACAATTTATCGCTCACGCAACAGTGATAAGTTTTTGAGTATGTTAACGCATTAATATGGATTGTTTCATGTATGTCTGAAGATTTTCCAAGATGCACACCGGTCCGCGATTTTCACACAGCTTTCAACCTTCCCTATGTAAACGATGTGTATAACAGAAAATCATGAGAATGAACATGTTCGCGGTATAGGGCAAGGCAAAGCCAGATATAGAAAATATAAGAGGCTTAATCTTGGCGGTGGTCAAACTTACGACCATTCAAGTGACTATGCTGCTGTACCACAAGATATGTAAGATAGGCGTGATCTGCTCTGTAAAGCCTGTACTGACACAGGACTTGTGTGTAGTGCAAAAGGAAGAATTTTCAATAACATGTTGTATGTGCGAATTGTACACTTGACGAAAGGCCAAGCATGTTCATACCAGACAAACCCATCTTCTCGTCAGAGGGGATTTACATAAGTACAATTACCGCAAGAGCTCAGCTGAAGAAATAAAAGATCTCTGCTCGCGAGTCTCAAGGGGCTTGACGCCAAGACGAACTGATTGGCGGTAAACCGCCTGGCTCTGAGTATAAATATTATATTCACGTCGGATCCAACACAATGCCTCAAGACTGTTGTGCAGACAACTGTAGCTGTCTCTCTACAAATGTTATAAACGAGCTTCACGCTTCAAAGTGTCACAAAGATATCATCGTCATTATCACTGTAAAACGCCACTGACAAAACAATTTCCTGATTCATGTCAAAGCGCGTTTTAGACAAAAGAAAACAACAAATGCTTCCGAAAATTTGTTAAGGATCTGTCTACTGAACCCTCAAGATGGAAACAGCATGATCCCCTGAAACGTAGGTCATTACATACCACTCTTCTGCTCTGAAGATGGAGGCAGCTTCTTCCTACGAAACGTTGGAAATGATATACCTACTGTATCCTAAAGAAGGAAGCAGCATAAGGTTCCCCTGAGAAGTAGTTAACTATCTACCATACTTCTGCCATGATGGTGGAGGGAGTAGGTTCCTCCGAAACGTAGTTACCTATCTACCACTCTTCTGCTATGACAATGGAGGCAGCTGGCTCTTCGAAACTTTGTAAATGATATACCTATTGCACCCTGAAGAAAGAAGCAGCAGAACATTTCCCTGAGAAGTCGTTATCTATGAATTTTCTGTCATGAAGAAGGAGACAGTAGGTTCATCTGGAATGTGGTACCTGCAGCTGCTTATGCCGTGAAGACGGAAGCAGCTGGTTCCTCCGGAACGGAGGTGATTATTTACCATACTCCATATCAGAAGAAGAGGAGCCAGGATAGCTCAGTCGGTATAGCAACTGGCTACAGGCTGGACGGTCAAGGGGTCGGAGTTCGAGTCCCGGTAGTGTCAAGAATTTTCTCCACATCGTCCAGCCTTCTCTATCCAAAGCGTACCGGGGGCTCTTTCCCCGGGAGTAAAGAGGCAGGGGCGTGAAGCTGACCACCTCCAGCTAGTGCCTAGGTCTATACATCCACTCCTCCAT